AACTGTCCCGAAGATAGTGGAGCCAGGCCGAGCCGGGCGTGGTTTACGTCGAGAGGTGCCCTGGTGTAAATGGGGACGATTTTTCTGGTCCTGTCTGCAACCGGTGTAGGATTTAGAACTCTAGATTTCGATGTAGGTCTCATGGTCCAACCAGATGGTGGTGTAGCTCTGTTGGCCTTGTAGACGCTTGGCAGGGGCAGGGGTCCACGCGTCGCCAACCCAACGCCCCAATCCCGCGACCCTGACACATCCCAAAACGTTAAGCGGTTACCGAGTCAAAACTTAAACCAGCTCCCAAAACCTGGGCCGCAGACTCACCCAGGCGTCCCTAAAGTCCAAGGAACAGCCAGTTTACGGAAGATGAGGAAACTCCCTTGTCCTTCATCGCAGACACCGTGCCATGGCAAAAATATCTTCCGAGGGATGAGGCCTCCAAGGAAATCCACCTGCTGTGGTTAGGCCAACCCTAAGCCCAAAATGCCCCAGACCCTGAAGAAACATTTGAGATGCAGGAAATGCAGGGTTTAGGGTTTAGTGGTTTAGGGTTTAGGGCTCTCGGCCTCATCCCTTGAACTGCGCTCCTCGCTGAATCCATTTGGACATGCTAGAGCTGTGGAAACAAAGATACCCCAAGTAATCCGTGTAGTGGGTTCCTTGCAGGACAGACCCCTGCAAAAGGGACCCCGACTCCGGGACATTTGTGAACAGCACGAAGTTGTCCCTTGAAAACATAACTCGACGAAATGATAGGGCGCCTAGTGAAGTCACATGTGTTGTGTAAAGTCATGAGGATCCTGCAGCATGGAAAGGGGCATTGAAAGCTTACAGGACATACACGACAGTTCAGCTGAGGTGAGCAACATTTCGGGCAACCGGGCCCCGATCTCAACTATGATTTTAGTTGTGGACTGGAGGTTTGAGAGATCTTGGTTTCTTGGTGGAGACTCAAGACGGGAGGCCATGGAGTTCGCAAGCTCAGGGAACTTCTGCCACTTTGCCAGTGTTTTCCTGTTCCAGGGCTGGGCATGTTTTTGCTGGTGGTTTTTGTGACTTCAAAGTGGCCGTTGAGGGCGCTTGGGGTGGTGGATGTGAAAGCAGAAAGCACACATGCGCGGATGGTCGAAACAGGCGAAGCACGTAAAAATCATCAATATGAAAAGCGGTCGTGCATGTGTGTATGTATGTATGTCTGTATGTATACATACATAGTTATTTATTTACATATATAATGTATATGTGTGTAGAGTGCGTGTGCGTGTGTGTCTGATAGATAGCTGGATAGATGGACAGACAGGCAGACAGACAGACAGATGGATAGATAGGTAGATAGATAGCAAATACACATATGCACATATACATATATATATATATACATATATATACATATATATACATATATATATATATGTATCTGTACTGAATTCATAATTGTCTACGTACTGATTTATGTGATTGTTTATTGACACACGCTTCAAGAGGGACCCAGAGATATGTACAAATGCGTGTGTGTGTGTGTATTATATGTATAACGGCATACATATACATATACATTTTCCCTTTACATACACATATACATATATATATATATACTGCATACATTTATCTCTGCAATGTCTGTGTTTTGATCCCAACTTCCACTGCCTTAGGTGGTACCACCTCCGTACGAGGGCGGGCCCAGCGTCGTTGCGCAGAGCTGAATCGGCGTGCCGGAGTGTCCCAAGCATGGTAGCTAAGCCTTGCAGTGGATAGAGCAATGGTTGTGAAGAACCAACGAGAGCAACATCCGTAGATAAAGCCTCCAGATGAAGTTTAAAGCAACCTGAGTTCCACTTCTGGGGTTTGGCAGAGCGAGAACATACACACACTTAAAACCGAAACTCTGCTTAGAGAAAGTCTGCATGTAAAGTGCCAGTGGTCAGGGAGTATAGGGCCATCTCGTGATTGAGATCAGGAGCCCGGCTCCCCTTCGACCCATTAAATTCGTTGGTCCCATGGGGGAGTTTCTCTGAAATTCTCCAAAACCCTAAACGGCCCTACACGGCCCTAAACCCTCAACCTGCCCGACATTTTCGTCTCCAGGCTTCGAGAGTTCCAAGGCTTTAAAGCACAGGTGGGGGCTAGCAAGATCCCAACGCAGAATTCCCAAACCTCCCGAACCCCAGAAACCTGTTTCGAGAAACTCCCGCAACTGAGCAGGGCTGCAACCACGAGAAGTGAAAAAAGAAGGAGCCCAGGAGTTGACGATTTTTCGGGTTGGGGTTTTATTGTGGGATCTTGGGCTTGGATATTTGGAGTTTCGGATCTAGGGCCTCGGGCCTAGGGCCTCTGGGGTTTCGAAGTTTAGGGCGGAAGGCTTTGGAAGGAACTCGGGTCCTTGAGAGGCGAACCTCTGCATTGTGAAAGCTCTCCAAGACCTGGCGTTTGTTGTCTTCCTGCTTTGGGACTTTGCGGTGTGGAGGCTTAAGGAGGCAGAGTTCAGGAAAGGTGAAAAGGAGAGAAGAAGACGGGGTGAATTTGGTGTTGAGGGTGAGCGGTTTACAGTTCTGCAGCTTACGGAGCGATTATCCTTCAGCTCCATTAAGCGTCCTTGTGATGCGAGCCCGACAATAGCTCAGCAGTTTCATACCCGAGTGGCACCTTCAATGCATCACCCCAATTCGAAGCCTCCGAATGTTTCCCGTATCGGCATTAAGCGGCTCTGAAGGAGGGACAATAGATGCGGATGACAGATTGCTTACTTGCGCAGGATATGGGGTTTCCAGTACAGTACGTTGTTACATCGTTCGAGGACAAGTTCTTGCACCACCACGACGGTGACTCTCTTTTGCCAATCATATTCTCCGGTCCTTCAGCTTGTCTTACGCATATGCTTTAGTGCCCCAGGAATGAAAGTCCCAGGGTCTATTCCTTTATGACGGAAATTCCGCGTCTCAACAACATGTCCATTGCCTCACTGTCCCAAAATAAATCCGTCACCTTGAATCTTATATGCTCAGCCCCAAACCTGTCCGAAACCTTATCTGTCCGTTTGATCTGTCGCGCGCTACCCGCAGCTCCGACTTCCACTCGGAGGCTTTCCGTAGCCGCAACGTAGTGTGCCCTGGGACCGGAGACCGGGGTTTCAAGGTGGTTCGGGTTTACTCGGTTTACTCTTGATTCTGGAGGAAGAACGATACTTATTTGCGTCTTAAGGCCGCTTAGTAGCTCCAGTCAGGAGTTCCAGATGGTCGTGATTGTCCCCTCATCTAGCAGTTGAGGGCTTAACATGGACCGGAGCTTTGCTTTCTTTGCGGGGGTCCGGGTCTGCAGGGACGTAGATTCGAGAAGTGCCGCCATGAAGCTCGCCCTTCTCATCGCCTTGGCACTGGCTCCAGCATTGGGAGTGAAGTTCCAGGCGCACGTCGACACTTCTAGGGGTTTGGCTTCAGGGATTTAAGGTTGTTGGGGTCAAAGCTTTCCTTCTCAACCAGGACCCCGAACCAGAAGCATGAAGAGCACAGCTTTGACGTGTAAGATACTTCCAAGCAACCTTAACCCAAGACTAAAAACCTACAAAGGCCCTCGCGATCATCCGAGGCTGCTAGCAGCCGGATTTAAAAACTCGATCCTAGACAGTGTAGTTTTCAATATACATGTCCCCCAGTAGTTGATCCTCCTCCTCCTTTGAAAAGACCGAAAGAGCAAGCCTCAGGTAGGGTTGCTCGATTCTCTCCAAAACAGACCCCTAAGCTCCTGGACCCCGAAGAAACCATGAGACACGGAAAGCCCCCGAGAATCCGTGGAAAGGGCGCAGGGCTGCGCGAGAAGAGGCGATCTTTGGGGCGGGGTTTCTCAGGGCTTCCAAAAAGGGGTTTACCGGGAGAATTCCGCGTTAGCCTCCAGGGCCTTTCTGGGGTTGAGGAAGTGTGGGGCCTTTGCCCTTCCGGGTTTCTCACTGGCACAGCATCGTGTAAAGGACCAGCAAGGAAACAGCAGACTGCAAGAGATGTAAACCCGATACTGCACAGCTCCTCCCGAAGCACCAAAAAAGTGGACTCTCTGTCTCTGTCTGTCTGTCTGTGTGTGTGTGTTTGTTTTTGTGTTTGTTTGTTTGTTTCTACACTTGATTGATTGAGTGAGTGAGTGATTGTTTGCGATTGCGCATAAGTTCATGCAGCTCACACAAATCATAGATCTGGGGTCTCGAGTCCCGCGAGATTTGGGATTTCCAAGTAGGTCTGGGGCGGCACAGCATAATTACCCCGGGACCGCAAGTGCGAAAGCCTAATCCTCCAAATCCTTAGATCCTAATGACTTATACGGGGTTGTGAGGCTGACCATGCGGGTATCATAAATTTCGACGTGCTATCTACGGTCGCATTTCGAATCAATTCAGTTCTACCTTTTACGTCTTCATTGGGGTCTTGTTGCTGATTTCGGGGCTAGGGCCACGTCCATCGACGCGCAGGACGGAATGCAAGATCTTCGCGATGTGGGACTACCATGCTGGAAAGGTCGGCACGGATGAGTGTTTAGGGCCTAGGACCTGGACAGTGTTGAGGGTCTTTAGTGAGTGTTGCACATTCCAAGCATTTCCAAATTGAAGCTCGTCTGTTGCAATCTTGCTTCGAAAGCACCCAAGAGGTAGAGTAGATCTGAAGAGCCCCCCTTCTTGCGGACATTCCTGGGTTGGTCTTCCGGCTAGGCTTCCGTGGTTGGGGCTCTCAGGGCTGCGGCTTCAAAGATATTGAACATTCAAAGCCACACAGCATAGCTCCAAGCGGTTTGTATCAGTGCTTGTCCAGACCCCAGCATTGCAGGAAAACCAATAACCTTAAAACCCTTAAACCTTGTACTCCGTAAAACAGAAACCCTTTAACTTCAAGCCAAACTCCTTTGAACCCTTTCTGTCAGGTTTAGGGTTCAAAGGGGACGCTGCAGGAACCTGCTGCAAGGTTAAGAGTTCAAAGGACCACCTCCCCTTTTAGAACCCGCCTGAAGCCCTCTGAAGCCCTGGTGAGGTGCCTTTCTTCATCCAAAAAGACCTGGAGTCCTGGGCCCTTCATTCCCACGGCCGCTGTGGGAGCCCTGAACCTGGGCAAAAAAAGGCCCCCCAACAACCCCACACGCACGCTACGTCCTTGTGCCAGAATGGGTTATGGTTCAGCAGTGTTAGTCTTGCCAGGTTCGTGGATGCGTTGCCGGGCTTTCATTCAGCAGCCCGGAGTTGTACAGCCACGAGTATCTAAATCTGAGACTGCTTGGATACACCCTAAATACTCCATCCCAGGCTATAGGCCTCTGTACTCGACCTTAGACCGACCATAGAGCACAAGTGTCAGCGCAGCCTGCGTTTGCCCAGGTGCTCATCAACGACACCAACATCGCTGAGTACATCCCGGATCTTCCAGAAGAGTATTTCAGGCTTCTTCTGAGTCTTCTGTGGGATGTTCGGGGATTTGTTCATGAGGGTCTTTGAACGACTTAGGTTTAGAACCGAGTGCATGCAGTGTGTTTAGGGATGCAGCCTTGTGCGTTGAGGGTTTATGGTGCAATCTATCGCAGTTTCCTGGTTGAGGGTTTTTGTGGTTTCCAGCTTTGGGTGTCTAGGATAGCCGGTTCAGTCGAGTGCTTCAGGGGTTCCAGAACCTAACTGGTGAACTCTTGAACCCTCCACCCTGCGCAGTAAGCATGGGCGGCTCTGCCCTCAGAACCCAGGGACAGTCTACCGCTCGACCTGGATTGGCCGTTCAAAGCCAAAGGCAAAACGCAGCCCCGAGCCGCTGTAGAGAGACAAGGGGTCGTTTAGGCTTCAACCTGACAGCTGCGAAGAGACATAGGAGAGCATGCTGAAAACCAGGATATGGAGAAAGGGACCTACATCAAAGCGGCAGCTCTGATCAGGCTCCCCGACCATGGATCCCGGTCGGACGTTATCCGCTATGCTTTGATCTATCATCATGGAGGCCGTGCAGAAGTTGCAGAAAAGTTGCAGAGCTGCACCGGATCTGAAAGGCTTTGGATGTTTAGGCTGAGGTTCTGAGGAAGGTCTTGATATTCCCGAAACCTCCAAACTCTAATCCAAAGCCTCCACAAGGAGCCCACGCCATGCTCCCTTCATCCGGAAGCCCCTCCGGGCTTGCAGTGCGATCTTCGCAGGCATCTACATGGACACCGACATCTTGGTCCTCAGGGACTTGAACGAGGCGCAGAGAGCAAATCTACTTCGCTTACACAAGCCGCATCCCAAATCGAAGTTGGTTTCGAGCCCTTGGCCCTTCACCCTGCAGCACTGACATCCGGACAGCGAAACCCTGAACCACAGAGCACTGAATCCGCGAACCTCCTAAAGCCATTAAAGCCCTGTCACCTCGAAGCCCAAAGAACATGGGGCCGGATAAGTTGCTTCTGCAAGACCTCGTTCGGCCTCTCTCAATCTACTAAAGCCCTGGATGCCCTACCCTACATCGTGTTGGTCATTGATTGCTTTGGCTGGAGGGTGTAGGTTTCTGTCCTGGGGCTTTGGGCTTGAGAAAGTTGCCATGTCTTGGATTGGGGCTTGCAGATTTGCCCGTTTATCACAGGCTGAGAAGCCATCATTACCAGACTCGTAGCTTTGGTCGCAACCGTGATGATAGTAACCATCACAATGACAGTCCAAGAGATGGTGGTATTCTCGGCATCGCCAAAGAATAGTACGATGCAAGCCCCAGCACACAGGTGCTGGACAAGGTTGCCGACGATTACGACCTGATCTCCTATGCTCAGAAGATTCACAGTTGCCTTGAGGGGAGGAAAGGTTGAGGAACTGAGAATGTGGTGAAAGACAGGCCAAGCATAGAAGATGTGAATTTAATGAAGACCTCAGATCCCACCCTGGAACTCTCTGACTCCCTGCACCTCTCAGCCATGCACCCCATGCCCAATGCGGTTAGAACCCGAGACATGCCTGTGCCCAGGAAGAGCTGCAAGGCCTTCAGCTCCAACTTCCTTGCCGCCCGCAAGGGCAGCGCCTACATGAAGGAAGTCTGGGAGGCAGCCTATGGGCGGGTTTCGGGTTAAGGTTTCGGGGTGTTTACGTTTGGGTGTGTGTGTGTGTGATGAAGCTTCGGGGTTCATGCGCTGATGGGTTTGAGGTCAGTGAACTTTGGTGCTTCTTGCAGGCCTCTGGTAAGAGTTCGTAAACCCTTCGCATCGCGGTCTGTTTTCCCCATCAGGGCTTCGAAATGTCTCCAACGTGACCCCTAGGAGGGGAGAGGTGGATGCTCTTAACTCAACTGAAATTATGCTTCCTTCTTTGGATTTCCAAGGAAAACGGCAGTCATATTATTGTACTACGTAAGGACCGTAGCAGGGACCAGAATTCAGAGAATTACCCGGCTGTGGCCAACTTGGTGCTCGTCGTAAAATACTCGGTGGTACGGATGCTTGAGAAGAGGCTCTTACGCCTGCGTAGCCGTAACCCACCTTGATGAGCTGCACGCCTAAACACAAAAAGCCCTAAACCCTGAAGCCCAAAGCCTCAAAGCCTAAACTCAGACGCGCGGGCGGTCCAGGCGCAGAAGAAAGCGATGACGAGTCACTGCGAGTCCCATGACGACCGTGACACGAAGGCTCATCTTCCGGAAGTAGGTCGCTTCGAGGTTTCGGCTGTGGCAAATGGGGCTTTGTGTTTAGGGTATGTTCGGTGAAGCAGTTTTTCAAGCTGGCAAGGGTCGTTCAACTAAGACAGCCCGAATACTCTGTGCTAAATTTTCAATCCATCACTCTACAGTCATAGCACGAAGTAGCTAAAGGCCATACTCTATCTTGATTTTAGGTTCAGATGAAATCTTGATTGAAAATACTCAAATCAACGCAGGGATATAGTAGAACATAAAGGATGAAGATCGGAATAGGAAAGATGGGCACCTTTGCAGCCTCGATTGAGATGTCGGCCTGGGCGTTCAGGAGCCTGATATGAAGGTTTCGGATAGTTTAGTCTTCGTGGTTGAGGGTTTCAGTCACGCAGTCTGCCCGAAAGCTTCAACCTTCGCGATGGACTTTGACCCTCGGACATAACCTTCGGCCTGTCGTCGAAATGCTGTCGCGGTCCCAAGAACAGTGCTCTAGACCCTATATAGGAGTTTCCTGCAAGTAAAGGGACCCCGACCGTACCTCATTCCCAAATCTTTGACACGTTCGAGCCGAGGCAATCAAACATAATATCTCGGACACCTCTTCTAGAACGCGGAATCCTCTGCCACGATGGTCAAAGCTGAAGCTGAGCCTGAAAAACTGAACTTTTCACAGTTATGGAGCAAGCTTCAGAAACTAACCCTAAAATCTCAAAACCTCGGTTTGAGTTTTCAGGTTTGCTGCCCAGCGAACCCTAAGCACAAATGCCACGTACACTGGGGTGTCGCTTGGCCTCGGAAGTAGAAAGGGAATTCATGCTCACAGTTTGGGGCTTAGGGCTCCGGGGTTTCGGATTTAAAGCTCAGAGATTGGAGTTTGGATGGTTCCGGTCTTCGGTTTGGTTCAGGGCTTTCGGCGGCTGAGGTCTTGTCGGCTGCAGATGTGTTGGCTTAGGGTTTTGAAGCCATGTTTGTTCATGACTTTCTGTCTAGGGCATGGTCATGGCTCCTTTGTGATGCTGGTGGGATGGGGTGTCTTGGGTTTCCGTCGCCCTCTACACGTCTTGAAGCGTTAGCTTGAAAAAACCTCGTGTTGTGATAATTTCGTCGCCTCCTACATGTCTTGAACCCCTACCTTGCAACAAGACTTCATTTCGGTGCAACTTCGTTGCCCCCTACATGTCTTGAATCGTTAGCTTGGCAAACAGGCTCCTTTGGTGACAATGTCGTCACTCCCGACATATCTTGAATCGCTACCTTGCAACAAGACTTCATTTGGGGAGCGGGCTTGATACTGCTGGCTTATGCTAGCCACTACTGACTACTCGAACGGTGTGATGGTTGCTACTGATCTTGCATGTAAAACTCTCGACGCTAGATCCGAAAGCTCAAGGAGTCTGGGACTTCAACAGACATCATGCCTGATCTGAGGCTATCGGTGAGATGGTGTCTCATCCAGTGTTCGACAAGTTCGCTGCCGCGAATCCTTCAATGAAGAAGCACTGCTTCGCAGAGGAGGACAGGGCCATCGCCACGAAGAGCGGGGTTGTCAAACCGTATCATAGCCGCCACAACATGAATACTGAATGAGTTTGGTGTTCGTGGTGACCGGGTGCGGCTCACAGCCCCGCATATCCTAAGCCGAGAAGGAAGGCGAGTCCTTCGCTCCCGAGGGCGCGAAGCTTACTCGAGGGGGCGCTGACAGCGGGGCTGTCAGCGTTTTGAGGGCTTCGAGCTTGGAGGTCTTGGGTTTCGGGCCGTTTCGGGTTCTCAGCTGAGCTTCGAGGAGCGAGGCCTGCCCGCAGTTCGCCCTTCTCGCTGTAGGTCGCAAGAGCCCAACGACGGAAGAGATAGGGTATACCGTGTATGTCTCCGTTGATCTCAAGGCATGGGCACCGTGCTCTTTACCAAGCGGAAGCTCCAAGATGCCTTGCCTTTCTTCACGAGCATCAAGACAAAGCCGCCCAGCTGCAGCTCCTGGAATTCCTGGAGTGCTTAGCAGGTTCTGAGAGGCGCGTGACCTTAAACCCAAGTCCGAGCTGTGCCCACAGCCTCCATAGAAATCAGGGAGGGATGTTGGCAGTGTTGGGGATGTGATGGTAAAGATCATCTTGACTCGGACTTGGAGCCTCTTGGCTTTGAGGGTGGGGGAGCTTGCTGAATCGAGGGCTTCGTCCGGAGGGTTCGGGGCTTTCGGAACCCGGGAAGGCCGTGTAACCTAGATCTGTAATGATGTCATTTTTTTAGGATTCTGGCTCCAATTCCCAGCGGCGGTTGGGGTTCGGGATTGCTGAAGGTTTCTCGAATTGAGAGCCTAGGATGTGGACATCAAGATCATGCCTCCAGCATTGTAGCTCGACAAAGCAGGCTAACAAGCTGATCATCCTCATCATCATCAGCACTAATCACTAATCACTAATCTCGGTGCTGCCGTCGTCGTCAGTGTCGCTGCCATCCTTGTTTTCGCCGTCCGTATTCATCGTCATCTTCAGAGATGTGCACCCCTGAGCAAACTTGCAAACTTCAGCGGCCAGCTGCAGGAAGCCCATGGATCGACTGGCCTACCACCTCTTCAATGCCCAGGGCTTTCAAAGGCAGGTCACCGGGTTGGGGCTAAGTTCGAGTTTCTGCAAAAAGAGGATCGAATTCAGGCGTAAGGGCTTGTTGGTTCGAGATGAAAGTTGCCGCAGGTTGCGGGCCAAGAAGGTCAAGGTTCTGCTTCAGGTGGCCACAATCGTCAGTGCATACGCTAGGTAGTGAGGGCCCCTGGCCTGTGCTTCGTGCTAAGAACCATTCCGTATCCCGATAGTAAAGTCCAGTCCCTGAACGTCTTTGAACCCTATGTCCTACAATTGTCCCATACCCTATTCCCCAAGCACCCTGAAACTACATATCCTAAGCCCTCAAACCAACACCTTAAATTCAACCTTTCCCCTACTCGCCTACACTCGAAACAAGCTGGACCATGAAGCCTTGCATAATCAACTTCTTTCAGGGAGTACGCTGGCGGCGCTATCTTCGACTCGGCTCTTTTCGTCGGAGCGCTCTATCGGAAGCTTGGACGGGGATTTGGGGCCGGCATATTCGTTCAGGTCAGGTTCAGGATGTAGGCCGCAAGGTTTCCTTGTTTCAGATCCTTCTCTGGCAGCTCATCCTTTCGGCAGGAAGTGATGATTTGACAACTTCGTGCTTCGGATCTGGAGCTAACAGTTCCCAGCCCACAACCCTAAACCAAAAGCCTCACCCCGAAGCCGTAAACCCAAGTTAAGCTATGTTCTTGTGGACTTTGGCACGGATCTTCTTGGGCTTTCGCAGGGTCCCAAGGCCGACAGATTAGTCAGGCTGGGAGCTGGAGAATTCAGACAGACTGTCGGTCCGTAAAAGCCTGACTCGAGTCTGAGGGATGCCATCCAAGGAAGAGCTTGGGAAATGCCTCGGCGCCACCGAAGGGTCCCGCAGACGACGGCCCAGCCGAGTGAATTGGCAAGCATTTGGCACTCAGGAGGCTTTACGGGTGTTTCGGAGGATTGTGAATCGCAGAAGGAGTACTTTCGGAAACTCCAGTTCATGTTGCACGGTGGAATTTGAGTTTGAGCGGCAGTGTCTTATGCTTTGGGCGCTAGCGCTTTCTAGGATATTGGGGTTTGGCGGTACCTGGCGCTTGGCCGGAAAACGAAGAACCCGGAATCCAGCTGGATATGCGCGGGTTCGCGCTACGCGTAGTGAATTTGAATTTCAACGGAGGAATCAGAAATTGGAAAGGGACAAGGTTGGGAATGAGTACAAGTATACCCTTCTCACACTGTGCTTACCACGATTGCTTCTCCGGCTACATTGCCAAGAGGTTGGGGTGACCGCTGCCTTCACTGCACCGCATCCTTGCTGGCCTATATGACTTTACGCGAAGGACCCTAGCAGTTGGTGGTCTCTGACTTGGTCTTCCCTTTATTAGTTGTTTTCTCTCGGAGCGTTCCATGCTCTGGGTTTTGCAAGGAGCTTAGCTGAACCTCATTGAACCTGCTGATTCTGATAAACTTGACGGAGGTCTAGACAACCCTGTAAAGCCTCATAACAGCCTATGAACCTAAACTACGTTCGTGCGCTACAGGTACTGCGCATCGGAAGGTGAGAATTGCCCATGCTCGGGGCGAGTCTTCTTTGGCCGGAAGTTCGACAACGACAAGGCCGCGAGCCACGTCAGAGCATGAGCACGTAGGGCTGCAGGCTTTCGTGGCCTAGGGTTTTACAAGCTTCACGTTGAAGCTGTTGCAGTCCTTGAGCTCAAGTTCTCCCAATACTTGCGCTTTCCATGCCCAAAACCTGTTTAGATAAACAACACAGGACGAGAAAACACACCCCGCCTTCCCTCATGCGTGAAAAAGCATTAGAACTTGTTCACCGCATTGATCCTGTCATCATGACAGTAGCATGAACCTTTGAGCACGGAATCTGCGACGTCGCTCCAACTTCCAGAGCAGCCTGAGCTATCGACTGCGGGTTCACCTGCAGCTTCAACTCAGCTGCTTCTCAGTTCTAAGAGAAGGGCATAGACATCCTGCGAGGATGGGGACAAGCTGGACTTATCTGAGATGGTCTTGCAGCAGCGGCCTGGCTTGGGGGCTTTTGAGAGGGTCGGGTGCTCTTCAGCCTTCACGGTGGAGACCCTCGAGGAAAAATTTGAAGCTCTGGGTTAGTTCCAGCGTGTTGAATGCATGTTTGGGATGCTTCCCTGAAGCCTTTGACTTTGGCAACATGACAATGTAGATGTGCTCGAACACCGCGGAACAAGGCCCTGAACTCAGTGCGCTTTGGTGGAGCTCCTCAGGTCTCGTTAGGTCCTTCGGCTTCGGCTCCCAAACCCTTGGCTTCCTTTCGTTCTCGCCGTCGGGGCTTTAGTCACGACGCTCTCGAGTAGTAGTCCTGGTCTCTTGGCAAGGTATCGCATGATGGAGGTCAACGGAGATATTGCCGGAGCCCCAACACCGAGCTCCGAACGGTACTCGACAAAATCAAACCCAGCAGTCCTGCACCCAGACTCGAAGCCCCTGTCTGAACTCTCCTTTGCAAGGAATCCTTTTAAGTGCACGGCGTACTGATCCACAAAAAGTTGCACAAATTGTCTTCGCACCCCTCTCTCTCTCTGTCTCTCTTTCTGTGTCCGTGCTTGTCCATCTTCAAGCACTATGCCATGCATGTGACATGTGTTTGCATGTTGAATGTTTACACGTGTCTGATAGTTCTCGCATGTGCATGCACGGACTAGGTGTATGCACGTAATCATTTGTAGCTGTGCTCGAACATCAGTACCTGGATAGCACTGTCTCGTCTTCGAGCTTCAATTTCCATGCCTAGCTGCAGAACCCTAAACTTCTTAGCCGCCAGCCCTCCGCCTCTAAGGGTCGGCATGGAACCTTTAATTTTGGCACCACGAACCGTACCAAGGCACTTAGATTGGGCCGGCGAGGTCTCTTTCTCATTCTCTTTGCTTCGAATCCAAACCGTCAAGCCTCGAACTCAACGCGCCAGGCTACCCGGAAGGCTTACTTCTGTCTTACAAAGGTAGGAACTGCGAATCCTGCCAAAACTGCAAGGATTTTGTCAGCAGCCAACAAGAGCGATACAAGGACTCCACCAACCTCCCCTCCCCAACCTTCGCAGCATTGAACGATTACAGTGTTGAAAAAGCCTTGAGACGCAAAGCACACCCAAAATCCCAACCCCTTCTACCGCTGAATCCATTGGCTTCAGAGGCCTGCACGACTTCCGGATTCATGGGTGATCCCCAGATCAATCGTCCCAAGCAGTGCCTCTGCCAGGCACGAACGCATCAGAAGTTCAAGAGTCGAGGGGTGTACAGGGTACCCCCTGTGGTTTGAAAGGAGGAACGGGTATGTCAGGGCCGACAGGCACCGTTTCGGGATCAGATCCTTTGATGCTGGTGTTCCGCGTAAGCCGGGAGCTTCGTGGGAGCTTGAAGCTTGTTGTGGCGGGCCTTCCGCTTTCGGGTTGAGGGCGTAGGGTGCAAGGTTTGCACAAAGTGCCCCAACGATTGGGGGCCGCAGGGCTTCAGCGCTTCGGGATTGTTGCCCCGGTGCCCTGCGAAGCTGGCAAAGGATTGAATCGATTTCAACCCTCCTTTCGCTGGATCTCACGATTTTCTGTCCCCGGAACCATAGGCTTTTCGGTGCTGAGTTTGGATTGTTTCTAGAGGTTGCGTTTGCAGTCCGCAAGCAGCCTCGCAACACCCAAAGCCCAATAACACTCACAAACCCGAAAGGCCATGAAGGGAGGCCCTGCACCGCGCAGCCCGGCCGAGGTTCCTTTGCCCAAATGTTACCCGTAGCCTTGGCGGGTTTTTTTCGCTTCCTCCGCCGAACATGATAGCCTCGTCACATTCCGGGCTCTTAGCCCGAGGGGCGCCCTACTTAGCAGTGCTTACAAAAGGATTCCTTGCAATGCTTGTTTTCTGAAGCTCCCGTGTGACACACCCCCTGTTATTACATGTCGTCCAGCAGGGCTATTGACGGTTGTGGAGCATCAACTTCTTGGCAGTCAGCTACTGACAGTACCAGTAGGCAGGAGTAAACAGCTCAAGTATTGGTGGCCTTTGAGAGAACTGGCAGTACTGCGAAGAAGAATCATGACAAATGCAACAACGAAGAAGTAGCACGGCTGTGATGAACATAAGAGTAGCCTCGAAGCCTAGGTAGAAGCCCCCTGCCCCCGAATATGAACAATCAGCTTCAACTGAACATATTTGATAGTCTGTTGTGCGGTGGCTGCAGTCGTCGTCGTCGTCACAGTGGTAGCGGTGGTGGTAGCAGCAGCAACACTGGCGTTGTTTGCATGTCCTGGTACTCGCAAGCACATTCAGTCGCTGCGTATGCTGGCTGTCTCGATCATTAGTAGTATGCCGCCATTGCCACAACGACTAGAATTCGGTCCAGAGACACATCTGCTACTTTCGTTCTATTTGCGATCCGTTCACGTGAGAGAGATCGAGTAAACAAGCATTCAAGCTCGCTCAAGCACCCAGTCGGCATCCAGGCCAAAGATCAAGCTAGGACGTTAACCCTAGCACAGTGTCCGGACAAAGGACTTTGAGGCTGCAATCCCTGAAATGCAAAGCTTCGCGCAGTCCCCACGAAGCACTGCCACACCGACCTCCATACTCCTCTCCTTCATGCCCAAGTCCTGAAGCCCAGCAAGGACGGTCCGGCCACCATTTGCGCAAACGAGGGCGAGATGTGGCCAACTCAGCAAGCTTCAGGGCACGCCGCCGCATTTCCTCTAAAGCCCAGCTGGGAGATTCACCCTAGAAAACCGAAGCCAAAGCCGTATAACCTCTAAGCCGACTGCATGAGGCATAAGGCCTTAATAGGTCTGGAACAAGTTCTGTTCTTGTGAAGTGTGCTTAGAGGGCCAACCTGTACAAGAACCCAGCGGGCTAAACTCCAAACCTTACAGGCAGATAGGGGTGTCATGCGCTGGGTGTTGTCCAGGAGCCTGCCAATCTTTTTCATCTGTAAGGCCAATTGGCTTTTTGCAACCACCTTGCAGGTGAATTATCGCCTTGGTTTGGTGCATCGGGAGGTTCATGAACGAGCAGCTGTTGCCTTCTCAGGTGCGAGTGCGAAGGGAAAGCTTACTACGGCCGCAAGTTTTCCATGGGCAAGGACAAGGACTCCTTTCAACTCCGTTTTTCCTTCGGAGCGCCTTACTTACGAGGTGATACGACTTTCTCTTGAAGGCTTAAGGCTGACCCTGCACGGTGGAGGTCAGGCTTGGGGACTTCTTGCTGATTCTTGTGGGATGCGGCCATAGACCTACACACAAGCAGAGAAGTACAAGAGCTGCGATAGCTACATGGTTCAAATTTTGTTCAAATTGGGTACATGACACACATACATACATACATACAGACATACATACACACATACATACTTTTGCATATGCAGACACATATATACACACATTTACCCATTCAATCAGTCCTTCGTTCACTTACTCGTTTGTTTATGTTTGCACAAAAGCGTGTAGAGTGTCTCTTTACATAGATGCACCTGCGGCTATACATTCGCATTGGGAAGTTCTTCATATATATATATATGTATATATATATATATGTATATGTATATATATATATATACATGTATATTTATTTGTTCATTCCGGCAGTCTTTGAAATTTTCGAAAAGCTCCGACCCTTCCGAAAACTGTCCAGTTGCTGCCATGGCCTCCCCGACGCTCCGCACTCTTTCCGGACTGCCGGGAGAGCCCACGCCGCTGAAGGACTCAGCCCTGGCAACTTGAGCTTTTTCTGATGAGCTTGTTGATGTGTGTGCTGTTGATTTTGGGGTTTGTATTGCGGGTGTTGTGGTGGGGTTTTGACATTTTGCATGATCGAGAATACTCCACATATTCTCGTAGTGATCGTGCATGTATCAAAGGGTCTCCACATGTGCCGCAATCCTGAACCCTGCACCATCAACCCTATAAGCTCCGTGGAGGAACAACCCCTAACCCTTGTTGTCAGTTGGCTGCAGGTGATCATCGACGCGCAGCAGACATACCGCGAGGGCGTAATGAAGCTGGAAGGTGTGGAGCCGGCTTTGGAGGAGTGCGCGGCTTTGTTGAAACGCGCCCGCGCAGAAGGTCGGCCCCGTTGATCTGTCGGAAATTTGCGGTTAAGTAGTTCTTGCCGCAGAATCCCCACAAAGAGTTCAGGCACCCGAGACAGGGACCCTGCCCAAGAGGTGCTACAGTGGTGCACATCCAGCACGATGCTGGGGAGGGCTCGCCGTACGACCTCACTCAACCGGTGGGCCAGATCGCAGAGCCTGTTGCACCCGTAGCTGGAGAGGAGGTCATTGTCAAGAAGGCGCTCAACTGCATAGCTGAGGCTGTAAGGACTTTAGGATCTGACGCTTTAGGCATACGTTCACGCCCTTGCTGTCTCTGCAGAACGAACGTACAGGCAGCAATGTAGCTGTACTTCCTGCTATGCTGTCGTGTGCGCCATTGTTGCTGCTCTTGTCTTGGCTGCAGTAGCATGATGGTGATAGTAGTGGTGGTACTGCTGCTGTTTGCTGCTGCTGGTGCTGCTGGGTCTGGTGCTGGCGGCGGCAGTCGCAGTGGTGGCGGTGGCGGTTCTGGGTGGTGCTGCTGTTGCGGATGCTATTGGTGGATATAGCACTGGTGCTGCTGGTGTCGTTCTTGATTGTGGTTCTACCACCAGCGTGTTGATTCCTTTGAGGTGCCCAACTCCTTCCATGACACGACTCTCCATCAGTACCTCCAGGACAAGGGCGTCAAGTCCCTGGTGCTATGCGGCTTCATGGCTCACATGTGCGTGAACTCTACGGCACGTGGCGCTTTCAACCTTGGCTACGCTTCCACTGTGGTCGCCAGCGCAACAGCAACACGTTCCCTAGCAGATCCTATCAGCGGGGAGCCTGTAGAGGCAGCCTTGCTGAAGAAGAGCGCGCTGACGGCCATCTCCGACGTTTTCGCTGTCATTGTGCCTACGGCTGACAAGCTGCCGTAGGTTGCTGCCCTCTCTTGTTGAGCTTCTCCCCGTTCAGTTGTCAGTTTTCAAGATCTTCGTCCAGGTTAGCGTCATTGGATCGCTGGCTATCAGAAAGACCCTGCCTGGCTGCAACTGCTGTTAGAAGAAGTAGACTGCACATTGGCGGCGTTTGCAGCGAAACATCTCACACTCATCCTCTAAGCCAATGCGCAAGCACAGTTCACAGCTAAAGGACCCGCATGTCCTTCTTTCAATGCTTCTAGGAGCAGCCGACATAGAGGAGGCATACCGCTCTTCTGTTCCAGCAGCAACAGCGGATCTTCCCAGAGAGCCGTGACTTGGTTTTGCGTTTTAGGGTTGCGACACAGAAACCACGAATCCTAAAATGCAACAGGGAAAAGACCCTGCAAGGCAAAAGCAGAGCCATAACTTAAATCAAGGCGAGAAGTTCAGCAAATAGGATGGATAGTGCAGGCCATCCCAAACCGCCACCAGACGCCTCGAAGTCAGAGAAGTCTATGAGAAGTTATGTGAATCGGGACTCCTTGCCAGATCTTCTCTCAGATCCCAGGTTTACTGTCAAAATCTGGTCTTGCCCCAGAAAGCCCAGTTACATACGTGCACGGACGCAGAGTATGGGGAGGACCAGGCGCCCCGCATCCTGAGCTTGGCAGAGACGGTCAAGTCCATCTACAGGGCGCAGCACGCGGCGAACTCATTGGGGCCGGCTCTGCTGTGGTTTTTCCCAACAGTCTCAAGCTTTCTCGGACGTTTCGGTGTTGACCGGAGCGCCGCTTTGTTCATGATGCCAGGAGCCCGAAGCCTCACCCCAACCACCTCGCCCCTGAACAAAGAAACTGTGCTCCTCTATGTGCCTGGCTTCGCCGATTGAAAACCACCCAGTTCAAAAAGCAAGTGCTCACATAGAGGACATCGCTACGGCTTCTTGAGGACATGCTCGCCTGAGAGTTCTTGGTGAACTGCAAGGGATTTTCTCTTGAGCAAGCAAAGTACCTGGAAAACCCTGGACCCATGCATGACTTAGTCATCAGACTTGATGTAAACCCATGAATGCCCGATGCCCTCCTCGGAGGGTGTCGAAGCCAAAGGGCCATGCAACCTCGACACTTGTTCTCCATCTTTGTCGATGACAATTTTCAGACCACAAGCCCTAGGCCCCAGAGCCCGGGCCCCACAAAGTGGAAAAGGATGTCAAACCCTTGAGCATGAAGCCGAAGTAGCCTGACAGGATATTTGTCTTGCCTTAAGCAGCGGGCCGCGCCGCGGAGTCGCATCGTCTTCAGAGCTCTTGAGTGGTGTTGGTGTTACATGTCGCGATTTGACACCCCGCACTCTTGCACTACTCACGCGTTCTTGTGCGGTTAATGTGCCAGAGCAGCTCATCGAACGCGAAAGGGAGAGACTTATTTGGCTTCCAAGGTTGGGGAGGCCCGCATGCTCGGAGTGCATCCCCGGATGAGGCCCCAAACCTATAAATCCTAAAGCCTGAAACATTGATCCCTGCTCGTAAGTTTGGTGCGCACACAAGTCGGTATCAAGTCTGAAACCCTCAAGACGCATGCAGCCCAACAGCAGCTTTTGACTACAGCAGTAAACTGCTGAAGCCTTCACGCCCTGCCAAGGGTCTCAACCTTACAGCGCCATCATATGCAACCCCAAACCTTCAATCCCTCAATCCAGCCTTGACAACCCCCAATGCCCCAACCCGTAAGATTACATACAAGCCCTCAGCCCGAACTGTTAGGGCGGCAAGTTCTCAAAAGCTTGAATCATTCGTGAAAGCATGCTTTCATCATGTCTGATTGTAGTTCTACTAGAACAAAACCCTTAGCACGAAAAGGTCTACTAGAATAAACCCCTGACCTTTAGAGAAGCTCCAGTCACAACCCCCGAAAATGGAAGCCTGAGCCTCTCAAGGTCTCCGGAAAAATCCGCTGCTCGCCCAGCGGCTTTGGAGGCTCCGTGCTTCAGTTTCAGTGGGTGAGGCTTGGGGTTTGTAAGGGTTGTCAATGAGTTGAGTTCTTCCTCTTCGAAAAGCTGATGCAGGGTTCGGTGGGTTTATAATGCAGCTTACAGGGACAGGGCCTGATGGGATCTTGTCGAAGGGATTCGTCAAAACACATCGGATTTTTTGTGATTCAACATTTTTGGGCTTTCTTGACATTCTGAGCTTTCTTACTGGCTTTGACTTTGGCATAAGGGTTTCGGTTCCAAGGTTCTTTTAACAGTAGATTTTGGGTTCAGGATATTCCTTCTTCCAGCGATTCTGTCGTTGTACGATTGTGGTTGACTGGGTCGCAAGACGGTGGAGGTTGTTGAGGACAGTGTTGGGGAGGACTGCTTCAAGCATTCTGAAGTTCTTCTTGTTTCGAGGTTTTTGTGTTTCCAGAGAATCAAAAATTGGCATTGAGGAATACAAGGCAGTGTGTCAATTAGCCGAAGCTATAAGTTGCCACCAACGCGGGCAGGCTCTGTAAGCAGATCTGGACCCCTCAAACCAAAGCTGCATTCACTGAAGCTGAGGTGATCCTTTAGTGGGAGCTTCAAAGCACTGCTTCTGCCAGCACGTGAAGCAGTGAGGCTTCGTGAATGTTGCAAGGGATCGGTAGATCCCGTCTAAACATCAAATCCTTTTCAGTGAATAGTACGACCACAGAGCAACTTATAAACTTCATTGTTTGCAAACATCATATCATATAAAAATAAGTAATGCTTCGATCCAGAGAAAATACCAGCATTCAATTTGTTTTGAAAAGTATGTATGCGCCAAAATGACTGTTAAATAGAAATAGAAGAAGTAAAAAGTAGTAGTGAGTCCCTAAAATTTTTAATATTTTGAATTGTTAAAATGTAATGTTATGAAAAATTATCTGATTGATTTTGATAAATCTAATATTCTGCTATCAAAAATGGGGTGGTGCTGGCATTGGTCTCTTGTAATTGGGTCGTCCGACATATTTCTTGTATGTATTTTTCTAGATATTTTATTTGTTTATCCTTTCGTTTGATATTTATTTGAGTATTTATCTGCGATTTTTATTATTTCTTAATCGGTCTATTTTTTTTGTAATATGATTTGATTTTGTATTTGTCTTTTTGAATTTTTTGGTTCTTTATTTTCTGTAGTTTTTTTTTTTTTTTTTTTCGTTTGTTTTTTTTGTTGCTTATTATTTTTTTTAAGTTTGTTTATTTAATTTTTTGATTTCATAAAATTTAATGTATTGGAATTTTTCTTAAGGTATAATTTTTTTTAATAATTTGTGGTATTTTTTCTAATATAATGATTTGTATATCTTCGAAGTTGATGTAGTAGCCTCTGGCGAGGACTTCTGTAGCGAGGAAGTTAGCGCGTAACCCTTTGGGCACCGATGTAGCGTAGATGCTTTGGCGGTCGGTCTTAGTTAGCTGGGCGTAGATCTCGCCACATATTTAAATTTTTGATATAAAAATATGAATCTCTGATATAATTAAAAATTTATGTAGCAAACGTTGTCTAAACGATAAAACGATAATGAAGAAGATTCGATTTCTTATTTCGACAGAAATTTTGGGAAAATTCTTTGTATTGAAATTACGAAAATGATTTTGTTTATATTGAAATATTTTCTCTTAAGAAAAATCTTTAAAATTTCTTTTATTTTTGTATTCAAAGCCTTCTTATTTTATTTTTTTTACGAATCTATTATCTTTTACAAATATATTATTTTTTTAATTTTTGCTAAAGGCAATGAAATTGCAATAATAAAATATTTTTTCTTTTTTTCTATAATGAAGAAAATATCTCTATTCGTGATTTGGAATGTTTTATCTGAATTTTTCTTTCTTGCACATTTCAAACAATTAATGCATTCGAGATGAAAAAAGCAGATTCAAAAAATACAAACATAAATTTTTCTCTTTATTTTGCAACCATTATCTTTAGAATTAATTTTTATTTGGCAAATTCTTTTGAGATTTTGGCCCAGTTTTTCTTTGTCTTTGACATTAGTGTGGTCTAATCGCGTGATTAATATCTTTTGGGTAATTTTTTGAAACTGGGGCAAGAATTGTCATTGAAGGCTTGGTAAAAACCGTCGCGATGCCGCAAACTTCTGGGTCATAATTCTTCTTTTGCAATCCGATCTTAATCAATCAAGGAGATCCGAACAATAGTTATGATCGTACACATATTTGCGGCCCATCGTGAAAATTGAATAGTGTCCGATTTGGGAATATTGAACAGGTAGTGGTGGTAATTGCCAAATCCAGGGAATTTGTCCATGCAAGTGACGTGACGTTCTGTGCTTATGTGGACATGTAATATGGTTGATCTTATCAGACGTCAGATATATGTCTCAAAACAAAGACATGCATGTCTTAGTTTAAGCTTTACACGGCAAAATTACGAATGACGCTTAAAGTAATAATAATTCATGGAGAATTGTCGTAATTTTTCGAACTAACACCTGCGCCATACCCAACTATTAGAAACAGAACCAACACAGGCTCCACCTGAGTTGCCGTCCTGAATTCTCATCGCCACCGGACCCTTTATCGGTTCGGCAAATTTTGGGAATTCTGTTGGGCTCAGGTTATGGTGCTGCTTCATGTTAACCATTCTGAAATTTGTCGTTTTTATTGTTAGGACAAGCATCTAAATACAAGCATTCGCCGTCTGCATCAAGCGTTACGGCCAGCAACTCTTGTCTATAATCCTTAATTATTAATTGAATCCAAACCCTGTTCAACCATGCTTCAATTCCTTTTGCACGAACATGCTGCATTAGCCGTAATTTGTATCTGAAGCTTTGTGCAATAAAATCAACAATACGATGTCATTTTAAGCCGATTGTTTTGCGACGATGCTACCACTGTTGCTGGTGCGTCGCAGGAGTCTAACCTAAGCGCTTGCGAAACCGTTGAAAAACTGGATCAAGGAATTCAATATTTTAAACCCGGAAAAGCCTCACCCGGATCTGATTTTGCGTGTTCATTTTCCGGCACCCGGAACCCTGCCG